CAGCTCTGCCCCTTGTTGTCGTAGATTAGGTGGATTGGCCATGGGAAATGCAGGTAACAGAGAGAGAATAGTGGGGTGGGATGTTCCTTCTATGGTTGGTGTGAACTTAATGGTCCGAATGGCCTGCTTCCACACTGTAGGGATTCAGTGATTCTATGAGTATATTCAATTATTCAGTGGCCTGGTTTCCACTGCTACCTCTGAAAGGGGATTATGAAGAACAATGTTATTTTCTTAGAATCCTTAGAATTTTATGAGAAGAAATTCCTCCTCCTTTCCTTATTAAATGGGAACCGTTTTATCTTTAAAATGTGCCCTGAGTTCCAGATTCTCCAGAACAGGAAGCATTTTTTCACATCTTCCCTTTCAAAATGCACCACCCCCCTTTCAATCATACAATCTAACAAGATCATATATCCTTCTTCTAATCTTACATGAAAATAGACCCAACTTGCTCAATCCTTTCTCAAGAACAACTTTCACCCCAGGGATCAATCCTTTTTGAGCTTTCTCTGAACTGCTTCCAGTTCCAGTCTAAGCTTTGTCACATAAGGAGACCAGAACTGTGCACAATACTACAGGTGAGGCCTCACTGATGCCCTCTGCAATTATACCAAAACTTTTTTATACCTCCCTTGGTGTTGGTGGGTTGGGGCGTTGGGTATGGGCGGTAAGAAAGGCCAATATTTCATTTGGACAGTGTCGAGAAATGAGCAGTCAGTGTTGCTGGGTACCTTCCATGAATCCAGACTGAATTCTGGGGAGGAGGTTTGAGCAAAGTAAAATGCAATTCTTTCCAAATTTCTTCCCAGCTCACTTAGACTGCCATTTCCCTTTTCATCCTTCCCACAGCTTACTTACCTATGCACCTTTGTACTGTTGCCAAATCTGATCGCACAATCATCCCTTTTATCGCGATCATTTAATATGGATTGTAAATAATTGAGACTCAACTGCTGATCCATGTGGCACTCCACTAGTTATCATTTGCCAAACATAATCAACCCATTTATCCAGACACTTTTTCCTTTAGTCAGCTAAAACTTTCCCCCCTCCCCCACCCCCACCACCCAACACCACAAGCTCTTATGCAGTAGTCTTTTATATTGTATCCTATCAATTGCCTTGCTTTTGTTTCTGTAAGCTAATGTTGATACGTGATGGCATTTTGCGTGAATGTAGACTGAGCTCTACACACAGTATCTGTGCAAGGAGGGAAATTGAAGTTCTTACACCCGTGTTGAAGTTGGAGCAACATTTCTCTTGATCTCTGTTTGCTGTGTAGTTCCGCCTGGTGGTGAAGACAGCCCTGAAGCTGCTGCTGGTGTTTGTGGAATATACTGAAACAAATGCACCGCTGCTTATCCAAGCTGTCACTAAAGTGGATCACAAGAGGGGTGAGTGCCATTGTTTTATTTATACTCTATTCCCCCCTCTGCTCAGTTATTTGACATTAAGAATGTACTAATTATTTGCAACAATGTTCTATTCTTTATCCAGTCCCTTCGCTAGAGTGTCCACTGACATGACTCCACTAGCCAATGAATCAAACAACTTGTGTTTGCTCAGCACATTAGTCTACTTAAGCACCACACTGCAGCAGTTCATAGTGTCTATTTAAATGGAATACATTGCCCATTACTAAAATTATAGGTCCTTACGGCATTGCCTTCAGACCTCATTGATGGGGAAGTTACCCAATCATCTCCATTCTGTTCAGAAATAGTGTTGTCACTGCTGACGCTTTCTTTTGTCAAGTACAATTAGGCTCGTATATAATACATTGTCACCCAGGCACAGGATTGTAACAGAGGGGAACAAAGAACTACAGAGGGGATAGTTGACAAATGTATCCGCTGACCCGTTGAAGTTGTCTTTTAATACCTTTTATCTTTCTAAACTAGTTACAAATTCCCATGTTTTAATTGGCAAAGGGCACTGTTTGCTTATCCCGGTGATCTGATTCTCATTCTTACAATATTGAAAGAGGTGGATTAAATTTAGAGACTGGATTCAAGCAGCATTGCCCATGTATTGAAGCCACTATTGCTCCAGACTACTGACAACACCATCTTTTTATAAATGTTATCGAGCCAGACCTTTTTATTCACTCTACAACTAGAGAGACCATGGGAAAACTTACCCAGCACTGACAACTCTTCCCCATGAGTGCTGTGCATTGCCAGATGCTAGGATCTATCCTGTAAGCAGTATGATATTTTTGGTGGGCATCATTGTATTTAAAAAAAGTAAATAATCTGAACAGTTACTCGTGGCTGCTGGATGCAGCAATTGCAAAATTGATTAACCGGTGTTATACTTGTATTAAGATTTTACTATGTTTATCTTTAATAGTTGCCACTCTGGTTGCAAGATATACACATTATATAATGCCAATGCTTGGGATATTATGTTGGTTTAAAGGTGATATGTTGCAAGTTATAGCTGTGATTTCAGTTATAGATCATCTTGCAGTAGAACACTTCGCTTATCGGTCTCTTCAGTTAAGAACCTTTTTTTGTTCAGATTTTTCTCAAAAATCCATGTGGAATCCTCTATGATATGTAGTACTGTGGATTATATACTTATGAAATAACCATTTCACACTCCCCTCCTTTGCCATTTGCTGTTCCAGTCCCTTCACTAATATAGCAAATGGGGAGACATCCTTTTGATATAGCCATACAACTTCTTCAGACCCTCTGACTTCAGGGGAGAGAAAGGAGCTAGTAAAATTTTCCAATGGTCTCATAAGCACATACAGAATGTCAGAGGCAAGATGCAGAACAAAAAAAAATCAACTTTGGAAACTCTTTTTTGTGATTCCTGCAATCACTATGTTAAAGGCTGTTGACTCCAAACAGAAGTGCTTCTTTCTGTATCTGAGAATTTTTGTGTTATCCATCTTGGTCTCACCCCTCCCCGTTTGCCCCTACAACCCTCTGATCTCTGAGTTTCCCGATTCTGCCCTCTTGTCCATCCTTACCCTTTTCACTCCACCTTTGGCAACAGTTACTTCAGCACTGCCATTTTAAAAAAAAAAACTACCTCTTTGACCATGTTTTTCAGTTACTTGACCTGTAAATACTTGGGTGGCTTGGTGCCCCGTTTTGTTCTATGACATTCCTGTGAACCGCTGTGGACATTTTACCACAATAGAGGTGGCAGGTTTTTGTGGTGGCTCCCTGACCAATGTCTGATATCCCGGAGCTTATGGTTCTTAAATTCTCTGGTTTATCCTGGTAGAATTCAGGGCCCAGGGGCCTTAAGTCAGCTTTCTTTACGTGCTGCTATCTAATTAGTGAAGATGTCATAAATCTGAACTTCAGGGATTGCTTGTTTCGGTTGCTTGGGTTATTTGGCAGATGGATCTAAACCTTTGCAACCCGTAATTTACTCCAGGCACCAACACCCAACAGCTGTAGCATTTTTGGGTTACTGGAAGCTTTCAGTGCTCACCCTCTGCCTATCCCATGTCTGTTGCCAACCTGCCAATGGAGAAAGTATGACCTGTGCACAGCATTGTTGTTCCAGTTGGAAGGTGTTTCTTCTTTCATTAACAATGCTTCAGGCACGCAGTGTGCTCTTGTGTATACAGAGACACCAGGGCATTTAAAAAAAGGAGCAGGAGTAGGCCTTTCAGCCCTCCAGCCAGCTCTGCAATTCAACTAGGGGGAGGCAATGGCCTCAGGTTATTATAGCTGGATTGTTAATTCAGAGACCCAGGTAATATTTTGGGGGGCCAGGTGCAAATCCTGCCAAGGCAGATGGTGGAATTTGAATTCAATGATCATGAATACCAGACATCCTCAAGGCTGTCACTTACTTGATTTGTTTCAAGCTGACCACCTTGTTTATTCAATGCACCATTCTAAGTCAAATGTTATAGTATTTACTGGTAAGCAGCTGTGCAACAAGAGCCTACTGCTCCCTACAAATTGATGCACAAGGTCCTTTAGGTTTGTTGCTGTGATCATAAATGACTGCCCACACTTCCTAATAATACAAAATAGCACATGAAGCTCGTAGTATTTGGTTAGGCTCAGTTAGTAGGACATAATCAATTATTTGTTACAGCGCAAAAAGAAGCCATTCAGCCCATCATGCCTATGCCGGTTCTATTCCCTGGTGCCAATCTTGTGCCTTTCCCCATAAGACTGCCAACCCATTCCAGCAGTGCAGTCCATACCCTAACTGCTCACTGTGTGAAAAGTTTTTTGAAGATCACCCATGCGTCCTTTGCACATCACTTCAAACCTACACCCTCTTGTTCTTTTCTTCTCTAACAAGCGGGAACAGCTTCTCCCGATCTACTCCTATCTTGCCTGTTCATGATATTGAAAACCTCTCTGAAATCTCCTCTTAGCCTTCTCATCTCCAGGAAGAACCATCCTAACCTGTTCACTCTGTCCTCATAACTGAAGTTTCCCAGTCCTGGAGCAATTCTTGTAAATCATATCTTCACTTTCTGCAATGCATTCACATCTTTCCTACAATACGGTGCCCTCAACTGTACTCAGTACTACAGCTGAGTATGCATGAGTATCAGCTGAAAACCCCAGAGCTTTGTACATGATGCTTGTTAGACTATAGAGAGACTACCATGTGTACTTTTGAACAGCCCGTTATAGACCATTAAAACCTTGGAATGTGCATTGTAGATTCGCCAGAAAAAAGTAACAATATTTGCCTAATAATGAGTCAAAAACCTGACTGAGTAGCCCCCTTTCCACTTAAGAAGCTAAGAGACAATTTAGTTGGCGTTTAATTATTAAGGATTATTTTAGTGGTGAATGAAAGAGAGATTATTTCTAGTGGCTGCGGAGTTAGAGATAAGGACTCACTAAAATGTTAAGGAGAAAGGTTAGGAGTAATTTTTTTTCTGTGATGATGGAATCCTTTGCCATAGAGGTTAGTTGAGACAAAGAACATTGCATTTTAAGGCAAAATTGGATGATTATTAGAAACTTAGGAAGTTGTAGGGCTATGAGAAACATGTGGGGCATTAGGGCTAGTTTTGTATTGCTATATGAAAGAAGCAAGGAAATGGGTTGAATGGCCTCTTGTGCTTTCACACTCGATTTTGTTCTACTTGAGAATAGCAACCATTCTGCAAATAGTCCCTGATCAAAGAGAGGAAGTGACAGAATGGGTATCCAAGAAACCAGCACAGAATTGTTCTCAGATCTGAAGTAAGGTGTTGAGGTGAGTTTCTGTGACCAGCTGGCCTAAGTATTACAATCTAAACAATCTGCTTTGTTAATGAGAAATAATGATGTTGACAAGGACACGCTTCTTAACTTTCGGTGAAAGTGAATAGGACTTCTTCTTGAAGCACTACATTGTCGTGACGATATTCCCCTGATTATATCAATTCCAAGATTTAGACCTGAATGCACGAGAAAGGATGTCTTCAAGAGCGTTGTCTAACTTGGAAGGAAATCTGAAGGTGATGGCACTCCAATAGGTTTGTTGCTCAGCTTGTGAGGTCTCGGGGCTCAGAGAAGCATGCGAATTTTGTTTATCATAAGAGCTTAAGAAATAGGAACTGAAAGAGTCCACCTGGGCCATCAAGCTATCTCTGTTGTTCAGCAAGGTGGTTGCTGATCTTCTAAGTCAACTCGATACTCTTGTGCTGTCCCCATATGCCAGTGGAATATGAATTTGCATCCAAAGATGCAACTGCATCTCCCATCACCTCAGAAGTGATGACATGGGTCCTGAATAATGCAAACCACAGCACTCGAGCGCCAATAGCGTGCTCACCAGTGCTCAGTTTGGATTCCGCAAAGTTCCAAACCTTCTAATAGCCTTGGTTCCACGTACAGTCAAAACAGCTGAAGTCCAAAGGCAAGATGTGCAAGTCTGCCCTTGACTAGCATTTGACAAACTGCAGCATTGAGAAAACCTAGTAAAATTAAGTCCATGATAATTGGGAAAAACTCCTCATTTAGTTGGACTCCTGCACAAAGGAAGATGGTTGTGCATGTTGGAGGCCAATTATATCAGCCCCAGGTGATCGCTGCTAAAGTTGCATAGGACAGCATCCTCGTCCCACACATCATCATCACGTATGTCAGTGACCTTACTCACTCATGATTGTGCAACATTCAGTTCCATTTCACAACTTGTGTAATGAGACATTCCATGCCACCCCTGCAGTAGGATCTGGACAACATTTGGTGTTGGGCTGATAAGTGACAACTAGCATTCACACTTCCACAATCACCAGGCAATGAGTTTCTCTGACAAGAGTGAATTTAGCTACCACTTGCAGTGGTTAATGAAGACAGTATGCTAACTCATTTGTGAGGGCAATTAGGGATGGGTAACATAGGCCCACCTAAATGAATGGAAAAATGAATGTTTCCACAGATCCACTACCCGATACAAGGGG